CCATTATCCTCTCTCCCCCCCCATTTCCCCCTAATATCATCAGTGTGTTACTGAACTGGTCAGACTGATGCTGCACTGTAGCATAAAATGTGCTGACTGCTTTCTATTCTATTGTATTCTATTCTATTTTATTCTCACGGTGGAAGAGAAAATATGATCAATCTGGTAACTGTGAACTGCTTCCTGCCAGTTTATGGTTGTTTGATGGAATCAAACCCCCTCAAGGAACGCCAAAAAGGCCCTGGAGTACCGCTGCAAGCCCCAAAATGGAATCCAAAAAACATCAAGGACCACATGAACACTCCTCAATTATCTGTGCAAAGGAGCACTGGAGCACGACCAACAAACTGTCAAATCCCATACAAACCTCTGGAACCCCTCATAGGAAGCATTGGAAACCACTAAAGGACCACTGAGGCCCACAAAAACTACACAAAGTCCCTCAATGCTTTGAAGCTAAGGGACAAGGATCTCTGTTACCTCCTTGGAGACCATTGGAGCTCTATAAGGAGCACTAAAAATCACCCAAGGACCCATGAAAAGATGCCCGAAAATCCCTTAGGGTCCCTCCATTGAAAGAATCCCCTGAAGGATTACTAGAGCACCACCAAGGATCTCTGGATCCACCTCAAGGACATTGAAAACACCACTGATGACTTCTCAAAAATTACCAGCTTCAATATGCACTAGAAATTATTTGGAATGCACAAAAAAAACTCATCAAGAACCATTGGAGCTTCCTGAGGGACCTCTAGAACCCCATCTGGAATTCAGGGAGCAGCAGAGATCCCTAACAGACCCTGGAACCTATAAAAAAAGACTATTGGAAATCCCACATTGTCCCTGGAACCGGTGGAACAACTTCAAGGACCATTGGGACTTCCTAGAGACTTTTCATTGAATGTCTCTTCTCATTGACCATTGTAGCACTGTCAGGGGTCTATGGCACTCCCTTAAGGTCCCTTGGATGCCACTTAAGACCACTGAATAAGTGACAATTACAATATTACAATCCCTGAGACAATCTCTGGAAACCCTTATCAAATTATAGGAAGCAACAACTTCTGAAATCCCTATAGGAGGCACTAGAAACCACTCAAAGACCCCCAGAATGCACAAAAGACTCCTGGAAGTCTCTCAAGGTCACAAGATAATTACTGGGAATCCCTTCAAGGACCATTTCAACCCTTGAAAACACTTCAAGGACCACTTGAAAACCTTGTAACCTTCAAAGCGGCCTTTTTCAGGGACACTTTCAATTACCTCTACAACCCCTTAATGGACTTAACTCATTGAAGGACCACCACAGCTCTATTACGCAGCAAAATCCAATAAAACACTCCTGGAAGCCCCTCAATGTAGATTCATGTAGCCCCTAGTCCCTTCCTGTGGTGTACCCCATGGTTCAATCCAAGTTCCCTTTCTTTTCTGTCTATATAAGCTGCCATTATGATCTATAATTGAAAAACATAGTGTGTATACATATACATATGACAATATGCAGATGATGCCAAGCTCTATGTTTCTGTTCATCTGATGACCTCAGCCCTGTTGACACCCTTGTTAATTTCTTTTCAGATCAGCAAATGGGAAGTCTGTGAATGTAATCATATCACTAATCAATAGCAGCACTAATCATACCAGCAGTAGTAGTAAATATAGTATTAAACACAGCATTAGTAGAAGTCCAACTGCAGCACCAACAGCCACAGTGTGAATCTTACCTGATGCCTGGACCTCAGTAATGTATTGCTGAAGGTCGTGACCTTGTTGGATGACCTCGTAGATCATATTGTTCATAGCCAGCCTTCGTTCCATGTGCCTGTAGATCAATCAATCAATCAATCAATCAATCAATCAATCAATCAATCAAAGTCTCCCATGACCTTGTTTTAATTTTTGTGCTGAGCCAGGATTATGTCCTTGCACTAGCCTGTTTACCTGTGGATGCGCTGTTGTGCTAGCGTTAGCACCTCAGGGCTAGCCTCCACTAGCCGCGTCTGGCCCAATGCTAGCTTGTCCTGGTTGCCGTCGGCCAGTCGCGGTGATGCTTGCTTCTCTGCAGAGAAGTCCTGGGACTGTTTCTGGAGGTCCTGCTTCCAGGCGTCCATTTCCCCAGTTACCTACAAAACACATGCACACGTAGGGAATCAAACCTCGACGCAGTGGAGGGAGGTTCCAGAAATAATTTGGGAGAAATGTGTAATTTATTAAATATCAATAAATTAATTAATTAACTAAAATAAACAATGTACCTCCAGTGTGCACTGGTGCAGGATGCGGAGCTGCAGGTAAACATCCAGTCGGATCTTCCTCTGATGGAAAAGTTCCTCCAGCTGAACGTGAGCCTCCTCCAGCTGCTGGAGCACTGACTCCACATGGGCCACCGAGCTGCCCTGGGGCCTGAAAGAAACGCGCCTAAAATGGTTAAACAAACCTAAAAACAAACACAACCACACCCACAATGTTTACATACACCAACTATGGTGAAAGCAGTGAAACAAACACCCACACAGGCCGTATACATTTGATAACGCCCCCTTAACAGGTTATACAAACTAGAAAACCAACGCACCTAGACAGGGTTCCTGAAAACAAACACACCCACAGAAATTATACAAACTACAAAACAAATGCATCCACGCAGGATGCTGAAAACAAATGCACCCACAATCACTACAAACACCTACTCCACACAGGCCTCTGAGCTGCCCTGTGGAGTGAAACAAACACCCACACAATAAACACACCCGCACAGGTTATATAAATGAGAAAACTACTAAACTAGAAAACAAACATACCCATAAAGGCTTTGCAAAATTGAAAAACAAACGCACCCACACATTCTACACAAACTAGAAAAAACAAACGTACCCAAACTACAAAACAAACGCACCCACACAGAATACATCATATGGACCACAGAGCTGCCTTGAGGCATTAAACAAACGTATCCCACAGTTTTTGCAAATCTAAAACAAACACACCCACAATAATTACACCAGCTCCACACAGGCTGGCCTGACAAGTGTAACAAACGCACCCACACGAGCTGTAAAAAGGCTCTCACGCAGCAGCGCAGAGGCATGAATCAAACGCACCCACGCCCTCTGTGTGTACCTGAGTTGCAGGATGAGGTCTTCTCCTTCCCGGATGACACTCATCGCAGCTTCCTGTGGGTCAGGGTTAGAGTCAGGGTTAGTGTGACGGTTAGAGCGGAAGGGTCAGAGGTCAGGGGGGTGTTAGGTTGTTACCACTGGGTTAGATTTCAGGTCAGAGGTCAGCAGGTACCTGTGTGTTGGCCTGCTGCTGCTGCTGCTGGCTGATGAGAGCCTGCAGAGCCTCGACGGAGTCCGGACAAACACAGAGATCTGAGGAGAGCTGCTTCTGAAGGCCCTCCATCCAGACTGACAGCTGAGGAGGAGGAAGAGGAAGAGGAAGAAAAAGATAAATGAGACTCACAGCTTTCAAAGTTTGTGTCCTTTAACACTGCAGATATATATTGTAATATATACAATAATATCTGTGTGTGTGTGTGTTACCTCCTTGGTGTGTGTGTAGAAGGACACAGCGAGGTCCAGCAGCAGCTTCCTCTGTTCAACTCGCTGGATGAACGCCTGAAAACACGATTAATCATTAAAGATGAACACATTAATGCACCAATAATCACCAATAATAACTGTGTATTACTGCTACTTTTTCCTCCACCAGGAACCAATTTAGTGCACAGTTCAACAGTTCTTCCTGTAGCTGCTTTTCAGAATAAAAGCCTCTATGGGGGGTTTACCTGCATGCGGAGCTCCAGGTCTCTGGCTGCCTGGTAGATCTCCTCCTCCTCGCACTCTCCGGACTGAGCCAGCTGGTCGGCTGCTTCCAGGAGCTTCTCTGCATTAGTGTATGTGTTCTGACACACACACACGCACACGCACACACACACACGCATACACACAGAGTTTAATTTAGTGTTGATTCTGGCACCCCCTGTGTGTAGAAGCAGTAGTGTTTCTACCCCCTGATGGTCAGCCTCTTCCACAAGCGAACTACACCACGGTTACATGACTTCGCCGTCACTAAACGTCCGACCTGTAATTAAACCGTGTGGTTAAAATCTACAGGTTAAGGTTTGGCGTGTTACCTGTGCGACCTGCTGGAAGTCGTTGTGGCGTTTCTGCAGCGCTCGCGCTCGGTGCAGAGACTTCCCCACGCCGCTGTGCTTGTTCAGGAAAACCTCGCCGTGCTGCTCCACCCAGTCCAACACCTGAGACACAGACAGATGGATGGAGACAGACAGGTGGAGGGAGACAGACGGGTAGAGGGAGACAGGGTCACTTTCCCTCCATTTTAAGGCTTCCATAAAATCTGGACCTGGATCGGGGTCTTGATCTGTCATACCTGTCTAACATCCTGTTGAAACACACACAGCTGCAGGCGCTGGTGAAGGCGGAGCTTACGGTGCTGCCACGCCCCCTCCACCTCATGGTGACCCTGGAAGACGGACAAACCCTCACATTAGTCAACCTGTCTGTCTGCCAGTCTGTCTGTCTGTCTGTCTGTCTGTCTGTCTGTCAGTGACGTATACTGCTCCTACGACGGATGTGATACGTACCTGCATGACCTGGTGCAGAACTCCCATGATGCCGTGCGTGGCGGGAGTGAAGTCTGGTTTGGTCGCCGAGTCATCAGAGTCTGTCGCCGGGCAACGCTGGAGGACGTCCAATAAGGCTTTACCACTCTCACTGACCTGCAGACAGACAGGCAGACAGACAGACAGGTAGTCAGACAGACAGGTAGTCATAGAGATAGACGGACAGACAGACAGACAGCCAATTGTTCTGAGAGACAGGTATGTGGACAGGTCATAAGACAAACACAGGTGTTCAGACAGACAGGTACCTGTGTGTAGTTAGCAGAGACCTCCTCGTTCAGTTCCTGGTGTTTCTTCGACGCAGCTTCCAGCTCGGCTGTCGCCGACGGCAACGACCCTTCAGAGCACGCCTGAACCCACCCCTCCACCCTGAGCAGGAACTGACAGACAGCCAGGTAGAGAGACAGACAGCCAATCAGGTTGAAACACAGACAGGTAGACGGGCAGATAGAAAGCAGACAGACAGGTGGACTGGTGCAGTAGATAGACAGTTACAAAGGTTGGTGAGACAGGTAGACAGTAGACAGGTGGAGACAGGTAAAAGACAGGCGGACATGCAGGTGTATTGATCACTGATCATATACATTCGTGCTGATCACCTGCTCCGCCCCCTGGTGGAAGCCGGTTGCCATGGCGAGCGTGTTGCTGCGCTCCTCCAGCGCCGCCGTCAGGGACTTCCAGTCTTCCTGTAACCGTGACGACACCAGGGCGATCCGCTCCGCGCCGTAGTGACCGGCCTCTGCCAGCCTTGCCGCCACGGTAACCACGCTGTCCACGTTCACGCTGCCGTTCTGCACGGAGACACACACGTCATCAAGGAAGTGTTAAACACACGCACAGACACACACGCACACACACCCACACACACTGACCATGCAGTTGGCGGTGAAGTGCTGGTGTTGCGTCTGGAGGTCGACGGCGTGCTGGTGGTTCTGCCCGACCTCCGCCAGACTCTGCACGAACAGGTCTTTACTGTGAGCGATCCACTCCGACATCTGACGCACACACACAACAAAAGTAATCCGATTACAATCTGTCATCAGTCTGGACCCTTCCTAAGTCCCTCATTCATTTGAACACTAATGAAAACTCACCTTGGTGGCGTCCTGCTCGAACAGGTGTAGCTGCAGCGCCTGGTCCAGGTGCAGCTTCCTGTCGCTCCAGCTCTGCAGCAGGTGACTGCGAGCCGCCTGCAGACGGTCCAGCAGAGACGAAACCTTCGGCACGACACTCTGGAAGTCCGCCCCGCCCGACAGCCAGCTGCCGTGGCTACTGCCGCCGCCTTCAGTAGAGGCGTCACCGTGGGCGGGGCCCAGCCGCATTCGCTGGAGCAAGCTCCGCCCCTCTCGCTCGAGGGCATCGACTGGTGCCGTGGCGATGGTGTTGCGGAGGCGACCGTGTTCCTCGAGAAGCCTGGAGAGGGAAGAAGTGCACAACAACATCTTTATATAAACAATAATTACTAGTTGCTATAGAAAGCGTAATAGATATCAACAGATCTCAGCTCTGATGAGCTCTTCCTCACTTGCGAGCCTCGTCCACGTCCTGGGGCTCTGGTATGCGGTTCAGCCCGGCCTCCAGCTGCTCCAACTGGGCCAGCAGCTGCGTGGCAGCCCCCGAGAACTCCTCCAGACCCAGACGCAGCTCGGTCCACTCCACGTGGTCGTACTCCAACGAGCCACCGAGGTCAGCGGTCAGCTGGGAGGGGTCGACGAGCCGGGACAGACCTTCCACCGACACCAGGCTGGTCTGAGGAGAGAGAGAGGATCCAATGGTTTACTGATGCTACTGTAAAATACTAAAGAAATACAGATATTTGATCCAAATGAAGACAATAATAATATTCAGTTAGCAGCAGTAGTAGTACTTCACTTACCAGCAGTGATACATGAGTTAGCAATAGTAGTAAGTTAGCAACTGTACAGCTATTTGAGTTTGTGGCAGTAAAGTAGTAGCACTGAAGTTAGCAGTAGCAGTACTTTATGTATCAGTAGTACTGCAGCAGTACCTCGAAGCTGAGCTTGGCGCTGCCCAGGTTGGTCTTGTGTTTCTGCCAGAAGGTGTCTGGTTTGATGAGCAGCGCCGTGTGGATGTTGGAGGAAAACGACTCCTGCAGCGTCCGTAGAACCGGCTTCACGCTGTCCCACTTACTGCCGCGCATGTCGACCACCACCGTGAAGCCACGAGCACGCACGTCCTCACTGACAGACAGACAGGCAGGCAGGGACAGAGGGACACACAGTCTCATGAGTACAGAGACCTTACTGAGAGAGAGACAGAGGGACAGACAGGCAGGGACAGGCCAAGTGAGAGACGGAGAGGTGTTACCTGGGTATGGTCGACAGGTAAGTGACCAATCGGCTGAGGTCTTCCTGTTTTATTCGATCATGATTGGTCCTGGCAGGGAAGGTCAGGATTGGTCCGCCACGTTTGTCCCGTCCACCTGGAGAACACAGTCAGTTAAATTGGGTCACATTTGGACCGAACTGGGTGAGAACCTGCAGCAGAGTGCGTTTTACCCGACACAAAGGCCACTTTCTCTCTGAGCACCGTCAGGACGTCGACCGCCCGAACACACTCTGCTTTACCAGAACCTGAGAGACAGACGGAGAGAAACACTCAATCAAACATGAAATTGTTGTTTTTCAAGAAGAAATTCCAAACTTTTCCCAGTTCCAGCTCCTTGTTTCTAGGATTTACTGATTTCAGAGTGGTCGTAGTAGATCATACGATTAATGGAGAAAATCATGGGCAGATTTATCAATCAGGAAAATAATGATGACCCTTCAGGTCTGCTAAATGTGTTTCCTTCCTTATAAAACAGTTTTTGAAATATTTTGAATCTTCTTTATTGCATTTTCTCTGTATTTATTGGCTCGTTAGCACCTCCAACTGTGAGTCAGCGGAGTAGCAAGACAGCAGGAACATACTCATGTAAAAAACATTTCTCCTTACTGGAGGTCAGAGACAACCAGTGCTGCTGCTAATGTGGCTGAAAACTGAACCAGAGATTCTTCTCCAGACAGCTCCTCAGACCATCACCTCTGTTTCCTTCCTGGTGTCAGTATCACTCAGCACGTCTTGGTAAGGACATCTTTTCACTGCCCGACTTTCACTGCATGGATTCAGATTCAGAAAAAAAGGCCCAGCAAGAAGCATCAAGCTATTTCCACCCATCCACCGAAATGAGCCAATCAGACTTCAGAGAGGAGCTGACAGACATTTCAATTAAAAAGCTGACTCCTGCAGCTCAGTGTGTGTGTGTGTGTGTGTGTTGCAGACAGATACACAGGCCTCCCATGTGCGTCAGATCATCCTGCACAGCGGGAGGAAGCTAATCCAACACACACACACACTGAGGGCATTAACCATCTCACATTAGCAGCTCGAGCAGTGATAACCCTCCGAGAGAGAACCTAAAAACAGGCAGGAGCCGGAGGAGCACGCTCACATTTATCCAACCTGAACTGCGTCCTACCGGCGTCCTCTTTCTCCTTCCTTACTGTCCTTGAATGCCTTCGTCCCACTGGACCGATCCGTCTCTTCAAAGCCCACCCTGACAGTTCAGACCCAGATTGACTGTCTGTTAAATCTAGACTAATTGTTTGGCCTGAGACCACCGATGGATTATCCGAGCATGCTGGCGTATACCCTATTTTAAAATCTAGCTCCTCAACTGTGTCACAGCGCTGAAAGCCCAAATCTACATGTACACGGGGCGGGTCGAGCCCTCAAATGGGACAGAAAAACTCTAGAAACTGAGCACGACATTAAACTACTGCACAAAGTGAAAATTAAATCTATGATGCAAACCATTCCCACAATATCTGTCACAATAATCATAATATGATGTTTTTACAGTACGGCGCAGCCAAAGTTCTGATACAGGAAAGTAATGGATGAGAAATGCTCATTTTTCACTGGATGTAAAGCTGAAACAGCAGATTCTATTCATTAATGAGAAATACTAAATGCCCTCCAAATCCTTCACAGTAAAAGCTCTCAATATAATGTCTCCAGCTCCTTCACAGTAACCTGCAAGCTGCTGTTTCACAATAAAAGCCCTCCCAATCCTCCACAGCCTCTTCACAGTCCAATCTGAGCACCCCTGTGTCCTGGGGTTGGGCGGTGTGACGCCGTGAACTGAATTCCTTTTGCACAAAACTCAGCAAAGATGGGAAATACTATCAGACTGTTTATTTAAACCAGTATGAATATTACTTGCATAAAAACTCATTCATTTGATCATTTGATACTTTGTTTGAACTTAAACATTTATATTTGTGTCGATTTCATTGCCTAAAACTTGCTCAGGCTTTCAGAGGTTTTAATCATCCAGATAATTCTATAAAATCCAGACCAGGCCTCTAATGGAGACCGGCCTTTATTTGGGAGCCTGCTTTAAATTGGTAATCAAATGTAGATGAAGTACAGTTTTGGGCCGTATCGCCCATCCATACTGTGTCCTAGAAGGGACTTTAAATGCTACTAATTTGCATAATAACAAAATAATGAAGAACTTATTGAACGTTCACTGACACCATTTGTTTTCCTCCGTTGTCCAGTTGTAGCTGAAGCAGGATTTGTGTTTTTAATAGTTAGGCAGCTCAGGAAAGACCTGAACCACAGGACAGGACCTGTTTATGACCGCTCAACAGAAACTGTCATCTCTCTCCAACCAAAGCGCTTCTGCTGCCTAAACTACTGGACATGCAGGACGGGAACGCCGGCCTCTGCTGTCAAAGTCCTGCACTTCATACGTCCATCATCCGCCCAGACCTCCTCCCTGCAGCTCCCGTGCAGCACGAGAACCCAACCGCTAAAACAAATTCAGAGCAAATGTAATTTGAAGGAGGCCGAGTTGCTGCTGAGAGGTTTTATCTCAGTGCGTGGACCATTAATAAAAATATGAGAACAGGCTGTTCTCTATCACCGATATCTGAAACAGCGGCGTCGCTCTGGCCTCCCCGTGTGAGAGAGGTTTCCTGTGTGTGTGAGAGAGTGGGCAGACCCGGTGTTCGTATATAACAGGTCTGAGAGCAGAAGCTAACAGCCTGCACTCGCTAATGAGTCGGTGGTGGGAGTTTGTGGGCTGTAAACATGACACCGTGTCTGAATCCACGCACCGCTCCAGACTGACTGCTGCCTGATTGATCCTCGATCAGCTGCCTGTCGGGCTGACTGATCCTGGACCAGCCGTCACTCAGGGCTGACTCCAGACCAGCACTGGGAGTTGGAGGAGAGATTTCCATTGTGATAAAGCTGTCTCACACTCTGAGTCAGTGTAACGCCTAAAATAGCTGCTGTGCAGAGCAGATGAAAAGCCTTCAGAGAAAGTTGCTGTCAGTCTGTCAGGACACATCACGCTGATTATGCAACAAAAACTAATGAACACGTTTCACCACAATGTCCTCCCAAATGTCAGCCTCTTTTATTGTTCTTCCACCAAATTAGCTCTGGTTCTTGAACCGGTTCCTCAGGCTGCTCTGTAGTGATGCAGCACGCGTTCACTATTACAATCGAATGCATCATCAGTGACCTCTAGAATAGGACACGCCCACTTGGTAACCAACTTTTCAGGTTTCAAACCAATTTATTTTTTATTTCTCCAAACCGGAACTGAGCCGGTTCCATGATGGTGGAAAGACTGGACCTGACCTCGTGGGGGCCGACTCACAATAAAAACCAACCAGCTGCTTCACAATAAAAGTCATCCAGCTGCTTCACTGTAAAAACCAACTAGCTGTTCAACAATACAGGCCAAAAGCTGCTTCACAATAAAAGTTAAACACAACATGCTACTTTAAAGAAAAAGCCCTCTCAGTCCTTCACAATAAAAGTCCTTCAGCTGCTTACTGCAGCAGTTCTGTTTTTGTCTGTTAGTGATAACAAACCACTGCTCATCCTCTGGTTCCAGATGTTTGTCAGGTTGTCAGGTCTTGTAAAACCCCCTCGATGTTAAACATTTGAGCAATGTGGCTGAAATACTCCAACAACTGTCGGACAGACTGCTGAAGCTCTTTTTATCTTTCCTGCAGTTTAATGTAAAGACTAGAGCTTCCGCCTGTTTCCCCCGAGGCATCGATCTGCAATTAGGTTCATCAACGGGCCGTTTTCTTTCTGTTTACTGGAGGGGAAATGTTTTACAGGCACACTGGAAACAGAGCTGCTCTATTTCACAAGAACAATGATTTATAAAACTCTTTTCAGGATTGTACATGACGACAGATTGGGAAGAAGAAGCGTCCTGCTTGACGTACGGTTGAATAAAAGTGTTGTTGTTTATTATTTCCATGGTTTATTTATTGTGGTTACTTCATTAGACTGTAAACTGTAATGTAATATACAGTAAATAGAACAATACTGTATCAGTACTTTACTGTATTTGTGATCTGCTCTATTTCTGCTGCATTTATATTCATATTCATATATTACTGCTAATCATATTATCACTGCTGTACTGTACTTACCACTAATAATTCTATGTGTAATCTATAAATAATCTGCAGTTACTAATATTACAATACTAAAACCTGCTCTGCCTCTGATCTGTTCCTTACTCTCACCTGTCAGGTAACCAGTAACCAGAACGGTTGCTATGGTTACCTGCAGGTTAATCTACCTGTAAACTGTGCCGGTGGTTGAACAGATGTTGTGGTTTTATCTGTCACCTGGCAGCCAATCAGAAAGCAGTATTCTGTATTGATCATGGTATTAATACTAATAACACCACAGTACTACCTCTGTTGGAATGAATGGAACATGAAAGCGTCATGTGACCACACACTGTAACACTATTACTACACACCACATTACATCACACACACACACAC